TTAATTAGACCTGCTTTCTGATGTAGCTAAACTTTTTCCAGCCCAGTGAAGCACCCCAACTTCTATTTCAGGTAATTGTCAGCAACACAGCAGTAAATATCAACACAAAGCAGATTATTATTGTAGATCACGCAGGGAGAACAAAGGGTAAAGTATTTAACTGCAGCAGTGTTTGACTATATTCTATGCAGTGAGAAAACCTGAAGTCATTTTCAAGGTCCACCATTTCTTACTTCTTTTCAGTCGGGGTCAAGTTTCTAAGCTTTCTATATTTCTGTTTTTTCGGCTAATGAAAAGAAAATAGGATTCCACTCTGTCTCCTATCTACCTACTTCAGGACTTCTGTGAGGATCAAATGAGGTGAGGCACGGGAAAACGCTTCACAGACATTTGGTTAAAGTGTGAAATGTTTGCACCTGGCTCTAAAGCAAGTCATGTTCTGGGCTAAAGAAACTCCAAGGAGGCTAGTTATCGCTAGGGAGAGGAAGCCAGGCGTTGCTATGTGACATCATTACCCAGTGCCCACAGCGACCGTTTCAGGGCTAGGCTGGGCTGTGGGCCACATTTTGCGCCATGGGGTCTTCACAGTGTCAGCTGCGATTTGGTGGGCTGTCACTCTGGGGTTGTGGCGGGGCCTGTGTCCCACTTGGGGGGAGCTGAGTGTTGGGTTGTTGGCACCAGGTCCGTGGTGCCATTTCTTTTTAAATGGCCAGTGCACATCATGGCAGCTCCTGCGTTGAACATCTGCCCCCTGGTGGTCAGTGTGTGTCATAGCTACCGGTCGGACAGTTGGATGGACACTTTGGTTTTTAGATATATAGATTTCCAGAAGTGGAGTTGCTGAGTAGAAGAATAAATGCATTTATAATTGACCAATTGCTTAACCAAATGCACCACACTTTCTCCTCATAACACACTATCATCATTTGTTTGTGCAAGACTCTGTTGTATTTTATTCATTTTTTCCCCTTTATCCTCCATCTCCACTACCAGTTTATCCTTCATCTGTTTATTTAGATATATGTTTGCGTGCTTTTAAATTATACACAAGATAATGGCACTCTACAGGGGTGGGCAAAAGTAGACTTACAGTTGTTCCCATGAAAAATAATACAATAATACAAGAATAAAGTCTGTTTCCCATACTCACAACTGTAAACCTATTTTTGCCTACCCCTGTATAATTTCCTTTTCTTCTGTTGAGATTGCAAACTGGCCTAGGTTCGATGGCTCCCTTTGCCAAAACCAACCTGGCAAAACTACAGATCTGGGAGAGAAGCTTGGATTTGAAGCACTAACAAAAGAACCTACAGGGTCCTGCAGAAAGAATGAAACTGAACTCAGGCTGGTGGCTGTCAGAGAGAAGGCAGGCGGTGCCCTGGAGCCTTGACTCTTTGCCCCGAAGCCAGAGCTGAGATGCTCAAGTTCAGATACCCTGCCGGGCGCGGAATTGTTAAAGAAAATACAGGCTGCTCATCCATTCTTTCCTCTCTGTTTTCATTACTTCCTCCTCCACCGCACCCCCAAATCCCAGGGATGGTTGATTTCAACCTCAGGATGCGGCTTCCTGCCAGTGTGGCTGCTTCCCGGGTGTTTCATGAGGAAATCCTGACCAGAGCATATGCGGGATGGGGGTTCCCCCCAAATCGGGATGGTTGATTTCAACCTCAGGATGCGGCTTCCTGCCAGTGTGGCTGCTTCCCGGGTGTTTCATGAGGAAATCCTGACGACCGCATATGCGGGA